GCGGGCTGAATCATGTTCGCTTCTAGGCAAACTTATACATGAACAATCATTTAAGTAGTTAAAAAGTTACGAAAGGCGTTTACAAAAACTTAAATACTTAGTACTTTTGATTGTCTAAATAATGCTAAGCGTGAGTCGCCTTTGCTTAAAATTTACAGACACAGTGAACACAAGAACATTAATTAAATTATTAAAACTTTATTCCAAGATCGATATAGAAAACTAAATTCAACCAATTCATTCAATGGCGCGCCCAATCAACTCCAAATGCCTATTTAAGCGGACTTGAAGCGCAGCGCAACATCAAACTGTTAGAAAATCTTCGCGCAAACGTTTTACAAAATTTGCTCCAAAGGCGCATAACTGCCATGTTAGTCGAAGAGTTCCAGCAAGGCGCTTCGCCACGCAATTCTCACGCCGATCCAGCGCGTATTGGCAATCTTTTTGCCGCACAAGTCGCCGCTTTCAAGGCCACAGGACAAATTCCCTTCAACATAAGATTGCCACCTCCTCTGCATTTAGTCAATCAGCTTTTGGGCTACATCTACTGCTGCTTTGTCATTTCGCAAACACTTTGCTTGGGTGTGCTCTACTTGAAGTGCTCTTACGATATGTTACTCGGCGGCACATTGGAAGAGATTACCGATGCACTCACTATGACAATAATCTTTTGGTTTAGCGTTTATGCTGCTTGCTATTGGTTGTTACGTTCGCGTCGCTTAATGAAATTCTTGCAGTATATTAATCAACATTATTGGCATCACTCGCTGCCTGGCCTGAGCTTTGTTAGCTGGCATCACTCATATGTGCTGGCCAAGCGTTTGACAATTGTTTGGACCAGTGTGTGTGTGGCGGGTACGGTGTTGTATGGATTGGCGCCGCTGGTGATGGGTGTACGCTTGCTGCCATTGAATACTTGGTATCCCTTCGATCCATTGGTACGTGCGAGTTGTTGTTATGGAATTTTTTTTTAACTTGAAAAATTTTATTTTTGTTTTCAGCAACCTTACATCTATCAGCTGCTTTATGTGCAGCAGTTGTTGGCGCAGATAATAATGGGTGCCACATTTGGCAATGGCTCTGCTTTGTTTGTCTCATTGGTTATGCTCATGTGCGGCCAGTTTGATGTGCTCTATTGCAGCCTGAAGAATTTGAGTTACTATGGGCGTTTACGTGCTGGATACGAAAGTGAAAAATTGCGGTATGTGAAGGAAAAATAAATTTAAGAAAAATAATTTAAGTTTACAAAAGGAAGGCGTGTCCCATACTTTCACTCGAAAACCGAATTGTCCATTGTCTTCAAGTGAGTGTTAGAAGAGACACCTATTCATAACCGAGAGAGGAGCT